TTTTGCTCACATTTCCTTGGGTTGTTCATTTTCATTGTCGTTTTAAGAATTTCTTCATATATTTTAGATAACAGTCCTTATCAGATGTGTCTTTGCAAATACCTTCTCTCAATCATTGTCCTGTCTCTTCATAGAGCACAAGTTTGTAATTTTAATGAAGTTCAGCTTATCAGTCATTTCTTTCATAAATTGTACCTTTGTTGTTTTATGTAAGAAGTCATCACCATACCTAAGGTCATCTAGGTTTCCTCCAATGTTATCTTCTAGGAGCTTTATAGTTTTGCAATGTGCATTTAGATCTATGGTCTGTTTTGAGTTCATTTTCGTGGAGGGTGTAAAGTCTATGTCTAGATTATTTTTTTGTATGTGGATCTCTAATTGTTCCAGCACCATTTGTTGAAAGGACTATTTTTGCTCCACTGTATTGCCTTTGCTCCTTTGTCAAATATCAGTTGATGATATATGTGAGTCTATTTCTGGGCTCTATATTTTGTTCCCTTGATCTGTTCGTGTCTTCTTTCACCAATACCACACTGTCTTGTTTACAGTAGCTTTATAGTAAGTCTTGAAGTGGGGTAGTGTCAGTCCTCTGACTTTGCTCTTCTTCAGTATTGAGTTGGCTCTGTACTGGGTTTTTTATATCTCTGTATAAACTTCAGAATCACTTTATTGATAACTTGCTAGGCTCATGATTGGGATTGTGCTGAATCCATAGATCAAGTTGGGAAAAACTGACATCTTGACACTATGGAATCTTCCTGTACATGGAATAACTCTCCATGTATTTATAAAGTTCTTTGATTACTTTCATTGAAGTTTTGTAGTTTCGCTCAGATAGATTTTTTTATATAAATTTGTATCTAAGTGCCTCATTCCAGGAATGTAGGAATGTGTTCATATTAGAAATTCTATTAATATTTATCACATTGAGAAGTTTAAAAAAATCTATAATAGGCCGGGCGCGATGGCTCCCGCCTGTAATCCCAGCACTTTGGGAGGCTGAGGCAGGTGGATCACGAGGTCAGGAAATCGAGACCATCCTGGCTAACATGGTGAAACCCTATCTCTACTAGAAATACAAACAATTAGCCAGGCGTGGTGGTGGGCACCTGTAGTCCCAGCTACTCTTTGGGAGTAGTCCCAGCTACTTTGGGAGGCTGAGGCAGGAGAATGGCGTGAACCCGGGAGGCAGAGCTTGAAGTGAGCCAAGATTGCACCACTGCACTCTAGCCTGGGTGACAGAGCGAGACTCCGTCTCAAAGAAAAAAAAAGAAAATCCATAATATAATAATTGCCTTTGATACTATAAAGGTATTTGATAAAAATCAACATCTATTTTTGGTGTTTAAGACCATAATCAAGTAAAAATAGATGGATATTTCATTGAAAATTAAAGATACCCACACCTCAAAACAAAAACTAGTATCACATAAAATGATGAAGCAATAGAACAATTTCCTATTTCCAATAATGCCAGAAGCATGATAAATATGCCTACTGCCTCTCTTATTACTTAACATTGTTGCAGAAATGTCAGCTAATACAGTTGACTAAAAAATAATTCAAAGGAAGATGTAAAAATATCATTGTTTGTAGTTGATATCATTTTTGAATACTTGAAAAATCCAAATAAACTACTACTAGAAACAAATCATATTAATTGATGCATATTTAATATAATTTTTCTATATACAATCAGAAAATATGAAGATTCTTGATACAACAGCAGCAAAAATTATATACTTTAGAATAAACTCAAAATATGCAGGATCTATGTAAAGAAAACTGTACTTGCTAATGCATGTCAAAGAAGATTTAAAGAAATGGAAGGAACATGTATTGCTTTGGAATCTAAAGATTCAGTGTTGAGCAGATATAACTATAAATAACATACGTTATTGAATAAAGTAATTTTAATAAAAATTTTAGTTTTTGAAGCTTAATAAGCTGATTCTGAAATTCACATGGAAATTGATATATATGGATCAAAAATAAAACTTCTAGAAGAAAATATGGGTTATTTTATTTTTAGTGCCTTTTTAAATGACATAAATCCAAAGACCTAAAGGAAATGAAGGATAAATTTGCTAACATAAAGATTTAGAAAATAACCATAATACAAAAAATACTACAAAGGTCAAAAATGAACTGAGAAAAATATTTACAATATGTTTACTTGATAAGGGCCTAGGTTCTTTTATATATATTATATATACATATATATATATGGGGAAAAGAAAGATCAGACTGTTACTGTGTCTATATAGAAAGAAGTAGACATAAGAGACTCCATTTTGTTCTATATTTGAGATGCTGTTAATCTGTGACCCTACCCCCAACCTTGTCGTTGCAAGAGACATGTGCTGTGGTGACTCAAGGTTTAATGGATTTTGGGCTGTGCAGAGTGTGCTTTGTTAAACAAGTGCCTGAAGGCAGTATGCTTGTGAAAAGTAATCACCATTCTCTTAATGTCAAGTACCCAGGGACGTGTACACTGCCAAAGGTCGCAGGGACCTCTGCCTAGGAAAGCTATGTATTGTCCAAGGTTTCTTCCCTTGTGATAGTCTGAAATATGGCCTCGTGGGAAGGGAAAGACCTGATTATCCCCCAGCCTGACACCCGTGAAGGGTCTGTGCTGAGGAGGACTGGTGTAAGAGGAAAGAAGCCTCTTGGCAGTTGAGATAGAGAAAAGCATCTGTCTCCTGCCCCTCCCTGGGCAATGGAACATCTCGGTGTAAAACCCGATTGTATGTTCTGTTTACTGAGAAAGGAGAAAACTGCCTTAGGTGGAAAGTTGGGACTTGCTAGCGCAATGCTGCTCTTTATGCACTAAAGAGGTTTATGGAGATGTTTACATATGCATATCAAGGCACAGCACTTTTCCTTAAACTTAAGTCACAGAGATCTTTATTCATATGTCTTACTGCTGACCTTCTCCCTATGATGATCCTATTATCCTGTCATTTCCCTTTTTCTAAGATGGTAAAGATGATGATCAATAAATACTGAGGAAACTCAGAGACTGGTGCCGATGTGGGTCCTCTGTATGCTGAGCACCGGTCCCCTGGGCCCACTTTCTCTTTCTCTATACTTTTTCTCTGTGTCTCATTTCTTTTCTCAAGTCTCTCGAGAAACGCCCACAGGTGTGGAGGGGCAGGCCACCCCTTCATATACATACACACACACACACACACACATATACTTTAAGTTCTGGGATACATGTGCAGCAAGTGGAGGTTTGTTACATAGGTGTACACATACCATGGTGGTTTGCTGCACCCATCAACCTGTCATCTACATTAGGTGTTTCTTCTAATGCTATCCCTCCCCTAGCCCCCCACCCCCAATAGGCCCCGGTGTGTGATGTTCCCCTCCCTGTGTTCCATGTGTTCTCATTGTTTAGCTGAAACTTATGAGTGAGGACATATGATGTTTGGTTTTCTGTTCCTGTGTTAGTTTGCTGACAATGATGGTTTCCAACTTCATCCATGTCCCTGCAAAGGACATGAACTCCTCCTTTTTTTGTAGCTGCATAGTATTCCACAGTGTATATGTGCCACATTTTCTTTATCCAGTCTGTCATTGATGGGCATTTGGGTTTGTTCCAAGTCTTTGCTGTTGTGAACAGTGCTGCAGTAAACATATGTGTGCATGTGTCTTTATAGTAGAATGATTTATAATCCTTTGAGTATATACCCAGCAATGGGATTGCTGGGTCAACTACTGGTTCTAGATTCTGGAGAATCTTCTGGAGAATCACACAATCTTTCACAATAGTTTGAACTAATTTACACTCCCACCAGCAGTGTAAAAGCATTCCTATTTCTCGACATCCTCTCCAGCATCTGTTGTTTCCTGACTTTTTAATGATCGCCATTCTAGCTGGTGTGAGATAGTATCTCATTGTGGTTTTGATTTGCATTTCTCTAATGACCAGTGATGATGAGCTTTTTTTTCATACGTTTGTTGGCTGCACAGATGTCTTCTTTTGAGAAGTGTCTGTTCATATCCTTCACCCACTTTTTGATGGGGTTTGTTTTTTTCTTGTAAATTTGTTAAGTTCCTTGTAGATTCTGGATATTGGGGCTATGTTCTGTAATATATGAAGAGAACTGTTAAGGAAAATAATGAAAGCCCAATAGACAGATGGGCAGTGGGAAAAAGCAGTTCACACATACACACAAGACAACATAACCGGCAAATAGAATAAAGGGTGCTGTGTCTCATCTATTAAAAGAATGGAAAAGTGAAACAATGAGGTAACATTTTTTCCCTACTGGATTGGCAGGTATTTAAAAGAGGAATAAGTGTTGCAAGAATATATATCCATAGGAACTTTCCTGACCAGTTGGTGGAAAAGTGACTTAGCACAATCTTTTTGTAGGCCAGTTTGTCAGTATTTGTATTGAATTTAAAGATGTGTATATCCTTGATCCATCATTTTCACTTCTAGTAATTTATTCGTAAATGTACTGACATGTACATAAAGTATACACATAAGGATATCTATCCTTATCCAGTGTTTTTATTAGGAAAATCCAAACAAAACAAAGTAGAAGTGGAAAGCACTTAAGTGTTTAGCAGTATTCAAAGGACTAGTGAAATAAATTAGGGTACATCTATAGAATAGAATACTTTTTCCAGTTCTTAGGCAGAATGTATTATTAGATTGGCTTGCATGCATATGGAAAGCTCTCTGAAACGTATTACAAATAAAAGCAAGAAAATAGTATAGCTTGTAGGGTAAGTGTCCATTTGTGGTTTAACAAAATATATACACTAGAATTTATACATATTGTCTGGAAGGATGCACAGGAAACTGCTGATGATGGTTCTCTCTGGGAGTTTGAAGTGTGGTATGGAGAATGGGCTGTTTTAGTCTTATAGTCCCTTTTGAACAGTTTGAATTTTATTATGGGCATGTACAAATTTCGCAATAAAAAACAAAGGTTTTTTTTTAATGTGCATTACTTATATTTTTTTTCTTGGATTTTTTCCAGATTTCTCTTGCATTTTGTTTTGTTTTGATGTTTGGGAGCTCAATGTTGTTATTATCCTTCTTTGGTAATTATTTGGGTAAGTATTCCTTAACACTTACATGGCTGTTTTTGAAACTAATGGTTTAACAATTTTTTCTTCACTGGCTTAGGATTCATGAGGGTTTTCTGTAGGAACCATCTTAAGTGTCTTACTGAATATACTAGATGTGATGGTGTTCAAGTACTCACTTCTAAAACAGGAAGAAAGAAAAACAATGAAAGTATCATTTCAGAAAGATTTCTATGCTTTCTTCTCCCTTCCTCCTTCCCATTTTTATCCAACTCCTGCTCCACTTTTTGAACCGCTTTCCTCCAAAACTGCAATCTTATTGTAGCCACCCCTCTTCGTTCCACTGTGATCAGAAGATCAAGGCCTTGGTTACTTAGGGTTTTTGTTTTGTTTTGGTTTGGTTTTTGCCCCTTGTCTACTTGTATGGACTTATTCAGAAGGTGTAAGTAAGGTGATGATTCAATTTTATTTTGTAAATCACTACCGAGAACAGCTTTAGATTATGGAGAGATTATTTTACAGAATTAGAACAAATTGGTGGAAGGTCATCTAATTCCTTCTGCTACATTTGGCAGGATGACTTTGTTTTTTGTTTTGTTTTGTTGTGTTGTGTTATTATTATTATTTTTTTAATGGAGTTTCGCTCTTGTTGCCTACACTGGAGTGCAATGGCGCAATCTCGCTCACTCCTCCTCCCGGGTTCAAGCGATTCTCCTGCCTCAGCCTTCCGAGTAGCTGGGATTACAGGCATATGCCACCATGCCTGGTTAATTTTGTATTATTAGTAGAAATGGGGTTTCTGCATATTGGTCAGGCTGGTCTCAAACTCCCGACCTCAGGTGATCTGCCCACCTCAGCCTCCCAAAGTGTTGGGATTACAGGTGTGAGCCACTGTGCCTGACGGGCGGGATGACTTTGTAGGTCTAAAAGTCTTCTGAAATTTAAAGACTGCCTTTTTTTTAGTGGGTTTCTATTAAAATGTTTTGCAAACTTGTTATTTCTTATGTTTAAAGTGCATGTGCTTTAGTTTCCGATGACTTTAAAAGCGTATTTCACTGTTGTAATTGGAATGTATTCTACTTCTTGAGTAATTAAGTTACTCAGATCATTTGGGGTTTCTTAATTTCTAGAAGCCATTACATTTGAAACCTCTGTTTTCATTTATTTTACAAATAATATTTATTTAAAAACCCGTTTCTCAAAAATATGCCTCTTCCCGGTCTGGGCCACCACCCTTTTCAGGTTGTGCCTTGAGTATACTTAGCTACAGAAATTAGCAATTAGCATTATGGTATATTTTCAGCAACAACAAGAAAAGTCATAACTTTGGGATTAATAAGAATAGTTCTTCTGTTCTGTGTCAAAGTGACAAAGTACTCAGTTGTATGTTTTACATATGTACTTTGTCATGTACTGCTATCACCCAGGATCAAGTACATGAATCTTGGTACTATGGACAGGGAAACCATTGAATATTCTGGTGTATAAAAATAAATGATAACAGAGAATACAGCATGTTTGTGCATATTTAACTATAAACACACATTTGCATATATTTATAATTAATCACTTTGAAACCTGAATCGTATCACATTTTGTATTCTCAGGTATTCAGAAACTTCCAAAAAGATTTAATTTGGTTTCAAGTATTTATGTTTTGATCTCTAATCGTATTTTTACCATGTTTGAAGTAGTTTTAGCTCCCCAAGGGTAATACAGTTTGGGAGCGTTACTACCTGAAAATACTTAAGATTTGACAAGAGAAGTATTTAGTTTATCCATTAAAATTTCATTTGTTGTTTACCCTGAGTCAGTAATTTTTAGCTAAAGGACAATCTTATGCCTGTATGACTGCTGTCCAAAATTCTGAAAATATTATATACCTCGTGGCTCAGAAATAAATCAGATATGTCAAATCAGTCGTAGACATTTACATATGGTGATTTCCTTTTTCAACTTTAAATAAAAAGTCGTGCACTCACCTAGTTGACTTTGTTTGGATAATAGGGCTATACCTTGAAGTCACTGACTGTAGAAATGAGCATGTGGATGGTATGTGAGAAAGTCGACTGTGTGCTAAATTTTAGATACTTGAGTATCTTATTATTTAGAAGAATTTTTTGGTACTTGTATTTATGTCTATAAATAGTAACTGTGTATACTATGTTATTTTTTCTACTCAGGGTAATCTGGCAATGAAACCACATTTCCTGAAAATAAATATATCTGAACTTAGTTTATGGGTAAGAATCAATCTATTTTAATGCTTATGTTTTTTCTTCTCTAAAATATATCATTGGTTTTATATTTTACTTTTAAGAAATGATCTATGTAATTCAGGGGATCCAACAGTTTCATAGTGTATTAGGGCTCAATTTTAATGTACCAAATTGCCCTTTTTTTGAAACAAGTTAAAGTGAATCCTGGGTATGTAGTTAAAAAATTCCAGTTTTATTTATTACTCGTGTTTCATCTGAGAAACAGTGCATGTATAAGAAACTGTTAAAGGGAATTTAACTGCAGTGGTTGTGTGAATCTTCTATAAAATATATTAATTTTGATAAGATTGTATGATTATATTTTTATTTTTAGTTATTGCCCCTTGATTTTGAGCAACACGCTTGATTTTAAATTGAGATGCATTTTTTAGCATTTTCTCTTGTAGATAGCAATATGTATTTCATGTATGATTAAAGTATTTATTTTTTTCTTCCTAGCCTATGTCTATGGAATATGAAGCATCAAAGTTATTTTTGTTTTCTTTTTTTTTAGGTTATTCAAGGATGTTTTTGGTTATTTGGAACTGTCATACTTAAATATTTGACATCTAAAATTTTTGGTATTGCAGATGATGTAAGTGCATTTTTTGCTTAAACTTGAAGGACTTGAAAAGAATCGAATAGGCTAAGAATAAATTGAATTATTCACGTATCACTATTAAATGAAATTCTAGGATGAAGTCTGTTCACCTATTATTTTATGTATTTAATATAATAGAAAGTAAATGTAATTGTGTATAGATTTTTGTTCTCCAAAATTAGTTTCTTAAAACAATCTCTTATTTGTCCTTTTATATCACTAAAATTTTTAAATTTTAAAGCAGGAAAACTCTAGAGATTAAAGATCAAATTTTAAGGTCTATACAGACATTTTTCTCTAGCTTCTTTTTAACTGGTAAAGACACCATCTTCAGAGCCTTAACTGGAGATCGTATTATAGTCTCATTCTTTTTTCTCCCCAGTTTTCAAGTCATTACTTGTAAAAGGCTTTTATAAGCCTTTATAGATAATTTAATCCAAGTTAGTCTTATTTAGAGAAGATTTTTGTTTGTTTTTGGTATTAGGGTAGAAGGGAACATAAAATGGAGAAGTCTGTCTTATAATTTTAAGGATTTTCCTTGTCCATAATTGCTCTGCCTATTTTATTTTGGTGTTTTAATCAGCAAATCCTAAGTCAGGAGGCTGTCAAAGATTTAATTTAAAAAAATAGCACAAGAGCCAACATGGAAAAAATAAACTACTTTTTTTCCTATAATTTATTTTTAGTAATAAATTATAAATTTAAATAATTTATTACTAAAAATAAATTTATTAATCTAGTACAGAAAGAAAAATAAAATTATAGGATTTTATTTATATATAAATTATATTTGATTTTATATATACAGTACAGAAAGAAAAATAAAATTATAGGATTTTATTTATATATAAATTATATTTGATTTTATATATACAGTACAGAAAGAAAAATAAAATTATAGGATTTTATTTTTCTTTCTGTACTAGATTAATACTATGGTTTTGAAACTGGGTTGTGTGAAGTCCTAGGACTTCCCAGGACTCTTCCCTGAGGGCTGTCTACTCCCCCATTTCCTAGCCTCTCTTTTACCCAGGGCAGTTTAACCTTAATCTCTTTCATATAGGTTTTCATAAGAACAAGTGTTGTTTTTGATTAAAAGATTGAAAACACATAGACCATTAAATGGGTGGTCTACAATCTGTGGAAAGACTTTTAAAACTATAAAACTATAGTTGAAAATGTATTCATTCATTCATTCATTCAGTACCTTCTGTTTGCCTGACAGTGGAAAGTATCCTAGAGATACAAAACTGAGTAAGGTATGGTCTAGCAGAAAATTCAGAAAATAGGACCAATTTCTAGCAGTTATAATACAGCGTAATAAAGGCTATGATAAAAAATTAAGTACAGAGTGCTTCAGGAATACACAGGAGGAACATTAGGGAAGGATCCTGGAAGTCATCTGAGGATGACAGCTGAAAGGTGGGTGAGTCAGCCAGTATGCAGAGCACAAGCAGAAAGACAAGTAAAATAACCCTAGTCCTGCATTTATGGAATCTGTTTTCCTCACTGGGGGAAAATGAGCCAGTTAAGGTATTAATTCAGGTTAAAGCGATTATCGTCATTTTCTGTCATCGCCTAAAATTATGCCAGAGCCAAAACAAGATGCTATAAACTATGTTATTTGCAAATTAGAAATAACTTAGTTGTAACTTGAGTATTTTTAGAAATATGTAACGTTGATCAAGGGCATTGGCTCATAAATTCTTAATTTCGACATTAGTTAAAGGAAGAGAGTGGCAAGGCTACCAACCCTTTCATTTCCTACTGAGTTCTCTACTTTTACTGACAGTGCCTCTGAGCGTAGGCTTTTAGCTGTCCGCCCCAAATCGGGTCAGCCTGCTCCAGTAGTGAAAGTTCTTTTTATGACCAGCCGCAGTCTGTCCTGCCGCCTTCAAAAGAACTGTTGCACTAACAGGATGGGGGAGATGGGGGTCGTGCCGAGGTGGATGGAAGCAACCTAGGTAAAAATGCCACAGACTCCCACTGTTTTTACCCAGAGTTTCTCCGTTTTTTATGAATGAATGCTTCCCACGTTGTTGCTTCCTTTTGGTTAATTTCTAGAACCTGTTATGAGTATGTTTTTAAATAATTTTGTCCAATTTTAAAGTTGTTTTGGAGAATGGGAAATACCAGTTTCTTCAGTCTGCCATATTTGGAAGTCGACACATTTTTTGATATATGAGTGTTGATCTAGCTTGTATCCTGGGATAAACCTCACCTGCTCAAATGTAGTATTTCTTTTCTATATTGCTGGATTTGGTTGGCTAATATTTTTAAGGATGTTCGTCTATTATTCATGAGGAATATTTGTTGTAGTTTTCTTTTCTTGTAATGATTTTGTCTGGTTTTGGCTTCAGGGTAATGTCATCTCCTAAAGTTATTTGCAAGTGTTCTGTCTCCTGTTTTCAGAGAGATTTTTGTGTCTAATTGGTATTATCTCTTCCTTAAATGTTTGGTAGAATTTGACAGTGAAGCCCTCACAGCCTGGAGCTTTCTTTGTAGGTAGATTTTTTTTTTTTTTACTACAAATTCAATTTCATTAGGTATCTCTCCAGTTCATCTGGAGTGAACTTTGGTAGTTTATGTCTTTAGAGGAATTTTGCACATTTTATATATGTTATCAAATGGATAATGCTTTTAGAATTTAGTCAGTTAAAATTCTTATTGGAATTTTTGTGTATATGCATATATGGGAAGTGATCTTTTTGTTCTTTGGTTGGCTTCTCCTTATTTGGATTTAGAGTTAATATTGGTCTCCTATTAAGAGCTGTTGTGTTTGTTTGTTTTTGGTGGTCTTTTTAAAAAATTTTTCCTACTTTCTGGCAACTTGGGAAAGATTTTTTTGAAAGTTTAATAATTTATCTATGTTAACCATCTCAGTCTAGGGCTTTTTGGGAGGGAAAATACTTGATTTGTATTTCAGATATTTGAATGCTTTTTGTTCTATTCAAGTTTTCTGTTTCTTTTTGTGCCAGTTTTGGTGTTTTATGATTTTCCAGAAATGTATCCATTTTACCTAGGTTTTACAATTTATTAGCAAACTATGTAGCCTACTATTCTTATTTTAGTTATGTTGAGTCCATAGTTATTTCTGCCTTTTTTTGTTTTGCTTTTTGTTTGCATCTTTTGTTTCCTTTATTAGACTTGCTGTAGAGGTCTATTGTTTTAATATTTTTAAAGTTATACCTTTTTTTAGTCCTCTGGTTTTGTTGTGTTTCTCTTTGTCACCAATTCCTGTCCTTATTCTTACTTCTTCTTATTTCCTCTCTTCTGATGCCCAAGGGAAATGCTTAGCTCTGTTGTTTTCAGCTCTCTTACTTTCTGATCAATGCTTTTAAAGCTAAAATTTTCTTATGAGTATGTAGTACTTTTTTATGTATCTTATAGATTGGCTATTTGTGGTTTTTTAAAAGTTTAAGTTTTATGATATTTAATTTCTAATCAAAAGAATTTTTAAAGCAATTTCTAGTTATTTTCTGGATGACAGAGCAAGACTCTGTCTCAAAAAAAAAAAAAAAAAGAAGTTAATGCTTAATTTTCCCCTTGAATGTGGGCAAATAGAATGAATATGGTGGAAGTGACAGTGTATGACTTCCAAGAGTAGGTCACAGGAGGCACTGCTTTCTCCTTGCTTTCTCTCTGAGATCTCTTTCTCTAGGGGAAGCCAGCTGTCATGTCATGATGACAGTCCAGTAGCCCTATGGAAAATTCCATGTGATAAGGAACTGAGGCCTTAGTTCTAGCACTAACTTGCCAGGCATGTGAATGAATCATCTTGGAAGTAGATTCTGCAGCCCCAGGCAAGCCTTCAGATGACTGCAGCTTCTGGCTGGCAGCTTAAATGCAACCTCATTAGAGACCCTGAGCCAGAACCACCCAGCCAAGCCACTGCCAAATTCCTGACCCATAGGAACTGTCTGAGTTCACAAATACCTGTTGTTTTAGGCTACTAAGATTTGGCATAATAGCAGTAGGTAACTAATTACAGATGCTGAATCTAGAGGAAATTTTGATGATAAGCAGGATATTTCTTGATCTTGAAGTGTTGCCCCACAGACTGTTAATTATCTCTAAGAAAGAAATTGTACAGGGGTGAAATTGTACAGGGATGAAATCAGGCAACAGTAATTGTACAGGGATGAAATCAGGCAACAACCTTAACTGGTGATCAGTATTGACACTGGCCATCATATGCCTCCAGATGTGATACCCTGTAAAGGACACAATATCACCTAGTCAGTATACTGGCCAAGAGTGCACATCTTGAATCTAATCATAAGGAGACAGCAGACAACCTCCACACAAGGAACATCTTAAAAGGAGAAAGAAAGAGGAATTTATTTTTCCAAAAAGTCTATGTCATAAAGGACAAAGGTTTGGGAAATTTTCTTTTTTCTTTTTTTCCTTTTTTTTTTTTGAGACGGAGTCTTGCTCTGTCACCCAGGCTGGAGTGCAGTGGTGCGATCTCAGCTCACTGCAAGCCCCGCCTCCTGGGTTCACACCATTCTCCCGCCTCAGCCTCCCGAGTAGCTGGGGCTACAGGTGCCTGCCACCACGCCCGGCTAATTTTCTTCCTTTTTTTTTTTTTGGTATTTTTAGTAGAGACAGGGTTTCACCATGTTAGCCAGGATGGTCTCGATCTCCTGACCTTGTTATCTGCCTGCCTTGGCCTCCCAAAGTGCTGGGATTACAGGCATGAGCCACTGCGCCAGGCCAAAATTTTCTTAATTAAAAGAGACTGACAGGCTGGGTGCAGTGGCTCATGTCTGTAATTCCAGCACTTTTGGAGGCCGAGGTGGGTGGATCACCAGATGTCAGGAGTTCAAGACCAGCCTGGCCAACATGGCGAAACCCTGTCTCTACAAAAAATACAAAAATTAGCCAGACAATGGCTTGACCTGGGAGGTAGAGGTTGCAGTGAGCCAAGATCACCACTGCACTCCAGCCTGGGCAACAGAGTGAGACTCTGTCTCAAAAATAAATAAAATAAA